TAATGAAAACTTTTGAAAATCTATCAAATGAAAGAGTCTTCTTAAACCACTGTCTAAGCACACTGTCTGGAACATTGCTCTGACTCATTTTTCCTTTGAACAACAAATATGGCAGTGACTAAGGCAACATAAGCAACAGACTGAACTGCCCTCACTGTGGATCCTGTGGTCTTCAGTAAATGATAATTCTATTACCTAGCAGAAAACATTTTCCCATATACATGGAGATATAACCTCATCTTCAAATAATCCTCTGGGATAGGAAAGGAATGAATAACATCACATTTAATTAGACATTTTAAAAAGTTGTAGAAGATTAAAGATTTCTAAAGATACTTTACATTATCACATGAGTAAGCTATTTTCCACACTTAAAAACTCTATCCTCTTTATATTAGAACAGGCAGACTGACATATTTCCTCTTTCCCTAATATATACTAATTATATAACCTCCTAAACAACTTTTATCTATGGATGATACAATAAATTATTCACTATTTCCCAAAAAAAGAATGACTGAAGACAACAAAATTATTATAAGAAACATAAATTTTGAAATGACTGTGTTTTTCTCTTTGCTTCCCCCATTTAAGTTAGCTCTCTCAATTAAATATCTTTCTAGATTTCTAAATATCTAGATTTTTGCCTTTGCTGATTAACTTCTTCATGAGTTTTCAAGATTTTCAGAATGCAACACACCTTCACCCTCTGCAACCCCAAAGAGCTCTTCTACCTCTGAGGAGTGAATTTCAATTATTTTCCTGCTTATTTCCTGAGCTTCTCTACATCTGTATAAAGCTGTCTTGCAGATGAATCAAACTAAACGTGCCCATTTTCCCAACCTGCAGCAAATGTGCTCCCCCAACTATGTAAGGGACACACAACTCAGGAAGGGTCACCACCCTTTATCCAGATGCTTAAGCCAAAAATCTGGTGTCATCCTTGATCTCCCCCTCTCTTCCTTACCCCCACATTCAGTCTATCTCTCTCTCCTGTTGATTCTTCTTCCTTGGTCTATCTCAAATGTGCTGACTCTGCCTGGTGCCTATTGCTGTCTCCCTGGCTTTAGCCCTAATACAGACCTTCGTAACTTTTCACCTGAATCACTGCTTTATAATTAGTCGCTATGCCTCTGTTATTCCCATGCCTGTAGAGCAGATAGAGTAATCTTGTTAGAATGTAAATCTGACCATGGTACTGTTCTAATTGACAGTACTGAATGTCCTTCCATGGCCAAAAGGGCAGAGACCAGATTCCTTAATGTAGCTTCTGGGCCCCCAATGACCTAGTCCCTGTCCACCTCTCAAACATCTCGCCACTCTACTCACCATCAAGCTATATCCAAATGTGTGCATTTCTTAATATCACCACAATTTTAAACCTCTACATCTTTCTCTGCAAGCTGTTCCTTTGGCTCATAGAATACCCCTTCTTCTCTGGGAAAAGGAGGTCTTCCTTGACCCTCTGAGCCAGGTTAGATATCCCTTCTCTTGTCTCCCATACTCATCATACTTTGTAACCACCTGCCCCATGCCTGTTTTCCCACTAGAATGTAAGTTCTAGGAGGAGGGATCATGCTGTTTTGTTTATTCCAGCATCCCCAGCACTGAGCACAATGTAGTCAAATAAATACTTGTTACCTAAATGAAGTGTGTGATTCTAACTGAAAATTCACCATTGAGAAGAACTGAGAATGAACATGATTATTAGAAAATATGAGAAACTTTTTTTTTCCCACAAAAGGCACAACTGATCATAGTTGATCTTTGGTGAATATCTGTAACATTCCAGAGTTTAAATCCCAAATATTAAGTCTGCAGTCAGATTTGCACTTCATCAGACCTACAATCCAGGCTGGTATTTAGCTGCCCAAGTTGACATCCGGGCTGACTCATTTTAATTTGACTGTTTGGGGTTAGCTTCCACAGCTGTTGTAGCACTGAAATTGTCAATCATTTGCCTTTTAGATCAGAGTTTAACTGAACTGGAGGAAAAAAACAATAACCTTCAGAAGACTTATTTTTCAATATTTTAGTAGGAAAAAAACTAGCATTCTTACCCAGAGATGTCCATTTATAATTCTCTCAAATTATATATGTTCTTCAGAAGAAAATAAAAACAAAGAATGAAACTTGAGGCTATGTACCTAAGTTTTTAACTTGTCCTCAGTAGATAAAATTTTAATATACGGTCTTTGAAAATAAAATCTGAGTTTTTCCCAAATGCTAATCACTAAGATGGGGCATTTAACCTTCACTCCAGGCACTTCAGGCTTGAGTTAAGTGCTGTGGTAGAATTATATTTTGATGTGTTTTATAATATGCTTTGATCCTCTACTTCTTGTTACTCCATGACCCTTCAGACAACAGCTGGCCATTCTACTCATATGTGTCAGGGAAAGATTCTTACAAAGAACACAGGAGAAAAAAATCCTGAGCCTTTAAGCTTCAAAAGCCCAAGCCCTCAAAGACTTGAGGCATAACATTTTCCAAAACCATGTAATCAGCTGGAACATTTATTCCACTCCAAGATTAGATAAAGAATCTTTGTCAAGAGAAAAGTAGAGAAATAAATAAGAGAAGAGAGGAGAGGAGAGAGGGGGAAAGAAGACAGGGAGGGAAAGAGGAGAGGATGATGGAGGAAAGGAAAGAAGAGGAGAAAGAGGAAGGGAGGGAAAGTCAGAGGGGAGCAAAGGATGAGATGCTGAGGAATTCCCCCCATAAGGGTCTGTTCTAGACCTTCCCAGGTTCGATACAATTGGAGAGAGAGTTGGCACCTCCGGATAGGTTTGGGGATCTAAAAGTAACTGGGCACTCATTCTACCTTTCCCTAGTAGGGTTGAAAAAAAGCAACAAGACATCAGAGTTTCCCTATGCTCATCATTGGATCAGTTAAGATCCAATGAGAAAAACAGAAACAACTGAGGAAATTTAATTCAAAACTGAGGAAATTTCATTTTAACAGGGAATTGGCTAGATAGGTGCTGGAGATACTGAAAAACCAAATGGGATAATGACAAAATCTAGAAATTAGCAGCAGTAGGAAGCCACTACTGCCCCTATGCTGGAAGGACAATAGGAAGAGACCATATTATTGAAGCCCAGGGACCAAGGTCCCCCAGGGAAGCTGGGATCACAGCAGACCTGTTCAGAGGCAGTAGACCACAAAGGAAATGCAGCTGATGAGATGACACAAAGAAAGGTAAAGGAAAATGCTGGCCTCTCCTTTCTACTGACCCTTTAATCCCTCGCAAAGACCTTGCATGCATCAAACCCAACTTGGAATCTAGCTGATGTGGGTGAGCCACTCTGTAGCAGAGCAAGGGGAGGGTAAGGCATGGGTCTGTGGGCAAACACATCTGTGATGTGGGAGCAGGAAATGTCTGCAGGGGGTATCTCAGACTATGGACCTAAGACAGTGTCACAGGATCACCATGCCCCAGCATGCCCAGAGGGGCCTCGAACCAGGCAGACATGACAAGGGAGCCTGAAGTTGGAATAAGGAAGATACATCAGGGATCCACCCGGACAGGAAAATAAATACCAATGGGCCCTCACACATCTTAGCGAATTACAGCTTGGACACAAGACTCAACAGTGAGAAGACAGACACTGACCCCACCAAAATGAGCTGACTACATGTAACTGTTCCCCCCCTCACTCTCATATCACACTTGGATGACACGGAACGGAGGAGGAGACAATCTAGCAGAGTGGAGGCTGAATCTAAGACTATTCATAGAAAAGAATAAAGAAAGGAAAGTGGGCCAATGAACAGACATAGTACTTCACCTAAGAGAGCCCACTGAATGTTGGGAAGAATGGACATATAATACAGATGTCTTTACTGCAGTGAGAAAGAGAGAAACAGCTCACGTTAAAGAAGGCTCCGGCGCTGGAGATGCACATAGAGAAGTTCCAGTTCTGTAGGGCTTCTCAGAGAAGGCCCTCACAGACAGGTGCTATTTGAACAGTGATTTAGTAAACAGATGGGGAAGGGATCCTCATCTCTGTTGTGCTTCAATATCCTTCCCAATGCACTGATTTTCAAGGGAAGCCTGTACATTCCTTTCCTAACTATAGCCCATTAAGTCTTTCAGAAACATGGCCGATCTCTTGGGGTCTGTTCTCCTTTTGATTAGTAAATGGGACAAGTCCAGAGCAGTAGGATGGGTGTGGCGTAAGTGTCAACTCTAATGAGTAGCATCATTCCCCCTGTGGGACATGAGTTCCTTAAAATGTGTCCTTTTGTGGATTTGATGGGCCATTTCTAGACTTCAGTCTTGAACCAAAGACTTAGATCTCAAGGCACTCAGGTAGTCTTACAGAATGTGAAATCTATAAGAAAAATATAGGTAAGCCATCTAAAATACATTCTCTCTACATTGACCAAACTTCCATAATGAAACAAATTATAGTTTATCATGAAATATTCCGATTTGTCAGGACTTTCCTCAAAATACTGTATTTTGCTTCTTTTTCTTTTTTTTTTTTTTTTTGAGACAGGGTCTCATTCTGTCACCTGGGCTAGAGTGCAGTGGCATCATCATAGTTCATTGTAACCTCAGACTCAAACCTCAAGTGATCTTCCTGCCTCAGCCTCCTGAGTAGCTAGGACTACAGGCACACGCCACCATGCTTGGCTAATTTTTCTATTTTTGACAGAGACAGGGTCTCACTCTTGCTCAGGGTGATCTCCAACTACTGGCCTCAAGCATTCCTCCTACCTTGGCCTCCCAGAGTGCTAGGATTACAGGGTGAGCCACTGCATCCAGCCTGCATTTTGCTATTTTTTAAATGCTGAAACAAGACTATTGGTTTACAAATAAACTTATTTATCACTATCCTAGAAACAATATCCCCAAACTTACCTTTTATAATCTAATAATGTAAGAAATAAAACTAATTGTTGTTATTTCCATTGTTTATAAAATGGAAAATGATTATATTACAGAAAATAATAAAAGTCATTGAACTGTTTGGAATATTTTTTTTCTTACCTCATTACAGATGGCTGTTCCAGAGAGATCTACCGATACCAAGGAAAGGATGTATACAATATGTTCAATTCCCAGGTGAGTCAAATGTTCAAAATTTCGTAAACTCAAGTAGTTTAAATTAGGGCAGCTGAAGGAAAGTAGCATGAATTAATTTTAGCTTTCAATCACATTGTCAATTTATATTTCTTCATATAAAAACTATCTTGGGAAAATAAATGGTATTGAAGCAAGGATTTTCCTTTTCACAACATAAAAGCAAGCCTAAAAGTGAAAACTAATTTGGCATTACAAAGTTGGGTGAAAGGGAGGTAGATTATTATATGACTTTCTTTTTTGTGATTTACTTTCATATTGTAATTTCTATTATAGTAAGAAAAAATATATCAGATGCATACAAAAAACTAGCATGTAAGTACCAAAATGAATGACCACTAAAAGTGAATGTAAGTTAAGTTCCTCGCTTATCCTTTACGAGTTTGCTACAGGAATTACACAAGACCTCTGACAAGAGAGGAGTCAAGAATAAATTAACGGCTCACGCCTGTAATCCTAGCTCTCTGGGAGGCCAAGGCGGGCGGATTGTTTGAGCTCAGGAGTTCGAAACCAGCCTGAGCAAGAGCGAGACCCCGTCTCTACTAAAAATAGAAAGAAATTAATTGGACAACTAAAAATATATAGAAAAAACTAGCTGGGCATGATGGCGCATGCCTGTAGTCCCAGCTACTCGGGAGGCTGAGGCAGTAGGATCGCTTGAGCCCAGGAGTTTGAGGTTGCTGTGAGCTAGAATGATGCCATGGCACTCTAGCCCGGGCAACACAGTGAGACTCTGTCTCAAGAAAAAAAAAAAAAGAATAAATTAACCAGCCAGAAAACCCCTTAGAAAATGCTGGAGTAAGGGTTTTCATGGAGATAATATGAAAAGTACAGAGAAGTTACTCATGTCTAGATATTCATTACTTCATGAATGACTCCATCTCAAACTTTCTCTTAGGTGAAATTAATAAGAAACATTTTAGATATAATCAAATGATTAGTTCAGTCTATGACTTCAATGTCTTTTATTTGTTTTCACTAAATATTGGACCAGCTTCTAGGCATCTCGAACGTTCTCCAAATGTCTTGAAGTCTTTACTTTTAGGTCTATCTCATCTCTATTATCAAATATACAATTACTAATGATATGATGTAAAATATTGTTTTATCATACCACTCTGATAGTTTCACAACAGAGGCATCACTCAGGTGCACACAGTTACTTAAATTTAGTTCTCTTATATTTATGCTCGCAGGACCATCAAGAAAATTCCTTAATCCTATGTCACCAATTCTGTAGGAAAAAATAAGAAAAGCTTCATATGTGATTTTATATATGAATATATAGAATAGCATTAAAGTAATAGTCACTATACCCAGTATATTTCCACAATAGCAAGGTAATCTGTATGTTGGCATTTTGTCAACATTTTGACAACCAAATTTGATTATATAGCCTTTAATGTAATAAAAAAAGCAAAAATGAGAATAATGGAAGAAGTATTAATAAAAATGTTATTTCTGTTCATTTTTTTCATTTAATTAGGTGGCATAATTTTTAATAAGAGATAGCTCTTAAGGCCTCTTTCTGTTTGGTAAAAATGTGATCAAGTCAAGCAGTCCCTGATACCATCTCCTGCAAAAGAAAAAGACCAAACTTAGGAGAGGGAGAACAAAGACTAACAGTCAAACTACTGCCAGAATGCAGTTTTCACTAAATACAAGGTCAATTTAGCTGGAATGGAAACCCAATAAGAGAACTTACAGCTCCTTTCCTTCTGAATCAGAGAAAATGTGATGCCGAAGACCCTGACTTCAGCCTTCTCCCACTGTCTGTCCTAATTAGAAACAGCTTCTATGTGTCAGTGCCATACTCCTACTACGTCAGTCCTGCTTTATAAATAGTTAGAAATCTGCTCAGCCCATCAGTGTTTCTGTCTTCCACTGGAACCTTTATTTAAATTATTCTTGGATAAAAAGTAAATTAAATAAGTACTATAAAACTGTATTTTTCCAAAATTAATTTATATATTTAACATAATTCTAATTAATATCTCAATAGGATTTTGTCTGAAATATGACAAAATTATTCTAAAATTTATCTAGAAAAATAAACTGGCAAAAATATCTAACTTAAAAGACAATAAGGAATACAGTAGGGTGACTATAGCAAGTAACGATGTATTGTTTATTTTAAGATAGCTAGAAGAAAAGATTTTGAATGGTGTCACCACAAAGAAATGATAAATGTTTAAAGTGATAGGTATGGTAATTACCCCAATTTGATCACTATAGTACATGCATTGAAACATCACATTGTACCCCATAAATATGTATAATTATATATTGATTATAAATTTAAATTTTTTTAAAAGACTAATAAGGAGAGTCTCATTCTATTAGATACTAAAACACATTCTAAAGGAATAATAGTAATAGATAACATTTATTAAGTGCTTATTATGTGCCAGATACTATTCTAAACACATTACATGAATTAACTTATTTGATCCTAACAACAATCCTATGAGGTATGTGCTCTTATTTTCCCATTTTGCAGATAAAACACTGTGCAAGATCAGATAGAAGACAGATAAATGAATGGAACAGAAAAGATAAGGTGAAAACAAACATATAGACACACATATTATAATCAAGGAAGTAACAAAAAAGACAATGGAAGAGATTATTGAAATAATGATCGAAGTTAAGTGGTTAATGCAGTTAGTCCCAAATCTGGTTGTGCATCAAAAGCATCCATGTTACTTCTTCTTTTTTTTTTTTTTTAAATATACAAGCAGAGGTTCCATCGCTAAAGATTCAGATTTAATAGCTCTGCAGTGGGGCTTGAGCCTCTGTAGTTTTATTCAGCTCTGCAGGTGATTTTAATGTCTAGGGATTTTTACTTTTAAATCATATATAATGTGTGGGGTTTTTTGTTGTTGTTTTGTTTTGTTTTGTTTTTGAAATGGAGTCTTGCTCTGTCACCCAGGCTAGAGTACCGTGGTGTCAGTCTAGCTCACAGCAACCTCCAACTCCTGAGCTCAGCTGATCCTCCTGCCTCAGCCTTCCAAGTAGCTGGGATTACAGGCATGCACCACCATGCCTGGCTAATTTTTTCTATTTTTAGTAGAGACAGGGTCTCGCTCTTGCTAACTCTTGAACTCCTGACCTGAAGTGATCCTCCTGCCTCGGGCTCCCAGAATGCTAGGATTATAGACGTGAGCCACCATGCCTGGCCTTGTATGTATTTTTAATTTATCGTTTTATTGCTGATTCCTAACTTAATTGCTTTGTAGTGAAAGAATACAGTTTGTTAATAAAAATAGTTTGAAAGTTGCTGGAACATGCTTTAAAACTTTGTACATGGTCCATTTTTTAAAGGACTGATGGGTATTTGAGAAAAATGTATATTCTTTGACTCTCCAACAGACTATTTTTGGTATATCTCTCTCTTATGAATAAATTTTAAAATCTGAAACTCTCATATTAAACTTTCTCTGTCTTTTTACCCTACATGTTATATTCTTTCCTATTTTTCATCTTTGCTGTCATTTCTTCAGTGTGATCTTCCAGCTCTATACTTTTCTCCTCCATGAGTTCTAATCTACTGATCAGCAATCCATTGAGCTTCTTTATTTCAATAACTATATTATCTTTTATTTATAAAAGTTTGATTTGTTCACATAAACCTAGTTATTTTTAATGATATTTTATTGCCTGCTCATATTCCTGATTCCATTGTTTATTTTGTTGAATATTTCATATACAGTTACTTAAGATTCTGTGTCCGATAATTGCACCTGAATTATCTTAAGGTCAAATTTATTTTGCTATTTCTCATTTCTTTTCCTTAGGGTGACTCCTATTTTTGTGCATTTGGTACTTTTTAATTGTGAACACCTATTCTAAGCTCTTTATGTATCAGATTTTTAAAAAAGTTGTGAGCATCTATTTATTTAATCTTCATCTCTAGCCAGAGAAACTTTGTGCTAACTTCTTCCAGGACCTTGGTTACTACCCTCTGGAGACCATTTTGTCCCCCTTGAAGCGGTCCAGACCCTGTAGAAGTCTTAGATTCTGCTTCCCTCCTTTGAGTCTTGCTCAGAACTGATTCCTCAATGATAATGTTGACATGAACATTTATGCTCAGAGCAGCCCAACCTTTTATGTTTGCATGCTATTCACTATTGACTTCAGCAAGTCTGTTCATTGAGAGGCTGGTGCAGAATCAGGGGATTTCAGGCTATTGGATATTTCTCTTATTCTTTATGGGCTCAGCAAGGTATTAAAAGTATATTTCATCAAGGATCTGAATTGTTTTTGGCAGAGTCCTTTGAAGTATCTTGTCAACTACATACCTGAAGCAGAAAACTTCCATTTAATTTTAAATTAATTAATCTGCAGAAGCCTGAGTGAAATACAAGAATTAAATTCAATTTCACATATTCATACAGATAGAATTATCTATATAGATACACACACACACATATACACACACCCCACATGTATGTCTGGGGTGTGTGTGTGTGTGTGTGTGTGTGTGTGTGTGTCTGTGTGTATCACTGTTATCTATCACTATGTCACAAATTGACCCAGACTTTATGGTTTAAATGGCAAACATTTATTATCTCCCAGTTTCTAGATCTCAAGGATTTGGAAGTGGACTAGGGTGGTTCTAGCTCAGGGTCTCTCATGAGTTTGCAGTCAAGATGCCAGTCAGGGGTTCAGTCATCTGAATGCTTGACTGAGGCCAGAGGGTCTGCTTCCAAGCTCACTTACATGGCTGTTGGCATGAGGCCTTTATTCTGTGCTGGCTATTAGCTGGAGGCCTCATTTCCTAGTCCATATTTTTCCCATTCTAATCTTTATGTCTCCCCTGACCCCTGCTGACCCATGCTGCACACCCCCCCATTTTAATAATAGGAAACATAGGTTAAGATTCTGTGTAGCTTAGCTCTCACTTGTCTTGTGTTTTCCCAAATGTTAGCCAACTTCACTGTGGATCAAGTGCTATTTTGTTATCATCCGGCCCTACAAGATTGTAAGAAATATACACAGGTGTGAGGCTGAGATTTCCACTGGGGGAGAGGTTTCAGCAAGAATTTGATCTTTGCCATCCTGAAAATACCAGGATAGCAGCCCAATAGTGGCTCAGCTAAAGAAAGGGTTTGAGGCCGGGCGCGGTGGCTCACGCCTGTAATCCTAGCTCTCTGGGAGGCCGAGGCAGGCGGATTGTTTGAGCTCAGGAGTTCGAAACCAGCCTGAGCAAGAGCGAGACCCCGTCTCTACTAAAAATAGAAAGAAATTAATCAGACAACTAAAAATATATAGAAAAAATTAGCCGGGCATGGTGACGCATGCCTGTAGTCCCAGCTACTCGGGAGGCTGAGGCAGAAGGATTGCTTGAGCCCAGGAGTTTGAGGTTGCTGTGAGCCAGGCTGACGCCACGGCACTCACTCTAGCTCGGGCAACAAAAGTGAGACTCTGTCTCAAAAAAAAAAAAAAAAAAAAAAAGAAAGGGTTTGAGTAAGACTTCACCATTGTCCATTTGTCAGAAAATCCACACAGAAGAGGTATAACCAATACCCAAGAGGGAAACCTTCAGTAAGATTGGTTCCTCATAAGCAAATAAGAAAGTCCATATGGGGAAATAACCTGTTAACTGAACTAGTTGTGGGAACCTCACTTAGCCCATAAGTGTTCCTGTGAGTTCACTTAATCTTACACAGGTCCATGATTCCCTGTACCCTGAGCTTTCCTTGACAATTTCCATGACCCTCATATAATCCATCAGTCTGGGTTGGGTGGCCCTCCTTGTAACCACAGAATTCTGCACTTACCTTTTACATTAACACTTGAACTCCTGACTTTTGTGCTTACCCCACTAACCATGAGCTTCTTGAGGAAAGGGCCTGGCACATACGATATAATCAGTGTTTCTTGCATATATGACTGAATGACTCATTACCTTACACAATTTGCCAAATTCAACACGGTCAGTTGCTTCAAAGGTGAAAGTGCCCTGAGGCTACCGTCTGTTATTCCTTTGCAGTCCACCATGTAAATGTGATTCATATTTGGAAAATTCTTACCCATAAATTTGAAGCATGTGTCAGTAATCCTTTTATTTCCTGTTTGAAATAAAACAAGAAAGGACAAGTATTGTACATATATAATTCCTCAGAAGTAAAAGTAAAAATTAATGGCTAACCATGTTTTTAACATCACAGACCTTCAAATCGGATCTTTCTGAGGTTGCAAGTAGAAAGAGCTATGAAAGCACCATCGGAGATATGTGGTGCTCCAATGAAAACTACTGATGTAATACGAAGGCACTTTTCAACCAAAGCCTTTAGAAGAAAAAAAGATGATTAAATTATCCACTGTGTATGCAGCAGGCTTGGCAAGGTAATGAGATTATTTTTTTCTCTCGATATTTTCAGAAATGGACACATTATTAAATTGTCTTATTGTCAAAGAAAACAATTTTTTCAATATATTTTATATTTACATTTGAGTAATATGGAAGAATTAGAATTAAATCATGTAGTAAGAGTATGGGAAAAGATGAGAACATGTAATGCTGAAAAAAATCACTACATTTGGCAGCTTGACACAAAGAACTAAACTTAAAGTTTGTGCTTAGGCTATAACATCACTGTACAAAAAATATCCTAGCTGTGAAACAAGGTTTCTTGGGGTACCTAAAGATTCAAATGTTTTGGGGATACATGTATGTGTGTTTGCAAATTTTTAAATGATTTTCTTACTATTAAAAAATAACTAAAATGAAAAACCCATTCATATTTTTCAGTAATTCAAGCCATTAGAATATGTGCCCATCTAATGGGACTGAAAAGAAAACGTACTTTTCAAATACCTACTTTTACACAGTTGTCTGTCAGAGTTGGCATGTCGTTGATGGTCAGATGCATAATTCCAGAGCAGCTGTTCGCAATGTTCCTGAAGCCTTGAACTGAAATCTGAATAGTACAGAGTAAGTGAAAATGATGGTAGAATTCATTAGCATGCTATCTAATAAAACCCCAGGGTAGTAATAACTAAAGATATGTCATAATTTTGTTACTATGTTTTAAAATTAACCGTAAAATATGGCAGACACAAGAGAGAAAGAATGAACCTAGTCTTGATTTCTTTCTATATTATTTTTATTAATTTTTATTAAGGTGAAATTCATATAACAAAAAATTAACCACTTAAGCTGGATGCTGGGCACACACCTGTAATCCCAGCTACTCAGGAGACTGAGATAGGAGGATCTGTTGAGCCTAGGAGTTTGAGGCCAGCCTGGGCAACATAGCAAGACCCCATCTCTTAAAAATTTTTTATTTAAAAAAAATTAGCCACTTCAATAAGTCATTTAACCATTTATAATGTAGTGCAACCACCACCTGTATCTAGCTCCAAAACACTTTCATCAGCCCAAAAGGAAACCTTGTACCCATTAAGTAGTTGCTCCCCACATTTCTCTCTTCCCAGGCCCTGGTATCACTAATCTGTGTTCTGTCCCTATGGATTTGCCTATTCTGAATATTTTGTATAAATGGAATTATATAATATGTAGCATTTTATACCTGGCTTCTTTCACTTAGTGTAATGTTTTTGAGGTTCATCTGCACTGTGACATGTATCAGCACCTCATTCCTTTTTATGGCTGAATAATATCCTATTCAATGGATAGTAGACCACATTTTGTTTATCCATTCATCCGTTGATGGATATTTGGATTGTTTCCATCTTTTTGATATTTTGAATAATGTTGCTGTGAACATGCATACAACTATTTGTCTGAATATCAGTTTTCAATTCTTTTGGGTATATGCCTAGGAATAGAATTTCTAGGTCATATAGTAAGTCTATACTTAACTTAAGGAACCACCAAAATGTTTTCTACAGTGGCAACACCATTTTACATACCCACCAGCAATCTATAAGGGCTCCAATTTCTCCACATCTTTGCCAATACTTATTTTCCATTAAAAAAAAAAAATTCCTAGTGGGCTTGAAGTGGTACCTCATTGTGGTTTTGATTTGCATCTCCTTAATGACTAATGATATGAACATCTTTTCATGTACTTGTTAGCCATTTGTATATCTTCTTTGGGGAAATGTCTATTCATATTTTTTGCCTATTTTTTAATTGGGTTGTTTGTCTTTTTTGTTGTTGAGTTGTAAGAATTCTTTATTCTGGATGCTAGACACTTTTTAGATGTATGATTTGGAATTATTCTCTTCCATTCTGTAGGCTGTCTTGTCATTTTTAAAATACTGTCCCTTGATGCATAAGAGCTTTTAATTTTGATAAAGCTCAATTTATCTATTTTTTGTTGTTGTTCATGCTTTTGGTGTCATATCTAAGAATTCATTGTCAAATACAAGGTCAGGAAGATTTACTCTCAATGTTTTCTTCAAAAGAGTTTTATCATTTTAGCTCTTATATTTAGGTTATTGGTCCATTTTGAGTTAATTTTTGTAAATGGTATAGGGTTTTTTTGCATGTGGATATACAGTTGCCCCAGCACCAACTATTCAAGAAAAGTACTCATTCCCCATTGAATGGTCTTGGCACCCTTTTTGAAAATCAATTGGCCATAAATGAATAGACTTATTTCTGTAGTCTCAATTCTATTCCATTGGTCTATATGGCTAACCTTATGCCAGTGCCATACTGTTTTGATTACTGTAGCTTTGTCATATCAATTGCTTTTTTTTTGATTATCATTATCCACATTAATGGAAACAGCAGTGGTAGAAGGTGCTCAACATAATGACTGATTCAAAAATTAAAATATTTGCCTATGATGAATTACCTTAAAATAACTTGTTATTTAAGCTCCATTTCCTGTAATCAGTGGACATGGATGGGAAATCAGATAGTGTTCAGATTCAGTTGTGGGAAACTGAGACTCTACCCAGACAGAAGAGGGAACTCCACTTCAGAGTCATGTCCACAATAGCATGACAGGGAGGATGGTGAGCAGCAGCTACAGTGGACCTCTAGGGAGACCTCTGGAGACTTCATGTGAACCACCTCTCAGTAAAAGGTGACTGCCAAGGGTCTGTCATCAGAACCACCACCTACTCAGAAAGGACTAGCCAAAAGTTAAGGAACTTAGAGCCACATCCTCAGGACAACCAGTGCTCATCTCAAATATCATTTCCTCAGGAAGCATCCCTGACCCTTAGACCAGGCCATGGTCTTGTTATATACTTAGAGCACCAAGTAATTATCATAACTACAATTCAATTAATTTTATGATTAGCTATTAAACTAACCCCACATCCCAGAAGGGTACCTATAGCATCAACTGACCAGATAATTGAGTAATATTATTACATGAATAAATGGGAGAATGTATGAATAAATTCTGAGAAACATGTCTATTCAGTAGGTACTCCTGCCCAGCAGACACTAATAATGCAAGCGCCCAGTCAAAAGCCAAGGGAATTTTGTAGCCATTGAAATAAAAAAGGAAAAAAAAAAAAAAAAAACCCAAGAGAAGCCCCTGAAACTGGGGGCTGAGCATGCAGGCTTGATTTGTTACAGATGCCAGGCCTTTGGGTGAGATTATACTTGAATAGTTTCTCTAAAGAGACTTCAGAAAACGTGTTAATTCTAAAGCCTGAACAATGTATTTAAACTATGGCAGTCCCTATGATGGCGTGTAATACAGTTACTATGCATAATGTTTTAGGAGAATAACTGAGCTCATGATATAGTTTAGAAGAAAAATTGGTTGGATAAAGTAAATTTTTCACGAGTACTCCTATAGTAAAGTCCAGGCGAGATGAATGAGCATATGAAACATCAACAGGCACGATAGGAATGCTGGGTTTGGGGTCAGTAGGCCTGGGTTTAAGTCTGGCTCTGCCTCTTTCTCACTTATAACAAAAGGCAGCTCAACCTCTCTGACTCTTAGTTTTCTCATCTGTAAAATGAACATTAAAATATCTATTTTAGGAGATTCTTGAGAAAACAAAATGAGGCAACGTATGTAAAAGTGGTTAGTTAGCACAATGTCTGGCATGTAATACTGGGTACCACTTTTCCTGTTATTGTTCTTCTGGGCACATTTTGCTCCCACAGAAAAGTGAAGAATCAAGAACTAGGGGTAGAGGGCCTTGAGAGCTCACTGTAGTGCAGTCCTCACATTGCAAACATATAGGAATGGTATTCAGGGAAGCTGTGGGTTTGGAGAACAGGTTCTTTACTCCTCACAATGTGTCCGCAGTGCTGAACATAGTGTTTGACACAGAATGGGTGCTCCATAAGTGCTGAATGGATGAATGCTCTTGAGTCACACAGCAGTGGCAGAGCCAGGGCTAGAGGCCACCACTTCCCATTATGACACACAACTCCAGGGATGAGAACTGCTGTTGGACACCGCTTCTAAGTTCCTCCCCTTCATCCCAGACCCCGGTCCATTACCCGAGCACTAGTATCTCTAATAATGGCTTCCATAAAACAAACAACTTCTTCTTTCTTGCATTCATGACAAAAATTCCTGAACAAGGGGAAAAAATGATAGCAAAAAGTAGCCACAGCTGGGTGATTCCTTGCAACACAGACAAAAACTTGGGGCTATCAACTGGCAAGATTAGTATCCAGAAAGGTGGGGGCCCTCTGTGAGAAGGGGCTTTTAAGCTTTGTCCTGGCATGAAGTGCTCAGTTCTCCATATAGTTTATATTAGAATATCCAAAAAGATGTTTGGCTAATATTTTATGACTCAAATATTCCTGCCAGAACCTTTTAGGCCAAGCAACTATTAGTTGTCCTTTTTCCTCACTGAAATAGTGGAGATATAAGTCTGAAATTAAAAATTCCTCTCTAAAGAAAAAAAGCAAAATATTTTACCATGTTAAAATCCCAGGCTTCATCACAGCTGATAACTGTGCATTTTCTGTATAGGATTTTGATAACATCTGGCATCTGATCTCTATTTAGTTGTGAAGTTATTTTGGCTTCTATTTTGACACCAACTGGAGCCCTGCCACCCTGCTCTTTGATGGTTAAGCCACCATTTTTTAGGAAGTTGGGGAAATAGGCCTCAACAATGATGTTCCAACTTCAAGTCCCAGCAAACAGCTACTGATGCTGATAGGAGCAAAGGAACTTTGGTGATCACAGGAAAGTTCTTTCCAGCTACCTCTGGGTGGGTCTCACCCATCAGCATGGCCAGACAGACCTGTCTGTGAAGGAAATGAGTTGTCGGTGAGCCACACACTCACTGAAGCCCAAAGTGCTAATAAGTATCAAGGACTAGCTCAGATCCCTCTTTGCTGCTCCAAGGTCATAAAAAGAAGGGACTTACCCACAGGGATGATAACATCTTACCGAGCTTCCATTTTCCACTCCTCTACAAGGATGCCTCTGATCAGTTAGCTCAGCAACACAGAAAAGACATATCTATCTGCAAAGCCAGACCCTCCATGGCAGCTAGAAATATTGATCTGAGATAGACATGGCCCATGCTGTGTTCCTGTACCACTTCCAGCTGTTTCTCTCATTCTCACAGCACTGTATCCAATGACTAATGGGAAATGTGATGACTTTAGTCATGTCCATATATTCTTCATGACCTCTTAGTGACCTCAAAGGAACCTAGCTTAGCAAGTAGAGTGAATTGTTGGAGAGAAAAACAAAGCTTTTCCCCAAAATGTTGTGGAAAATTCTGTTTTATTACATTCAAATGCACCACAAGCATCTTCAGTAGCAACACTTCCGAGGGGCTGTGCTAAGAGAGTTTAATAGGCTCTCAAATATTGTGTCCTCTGTAGGAACAGAAGCAGAGTCCTGGTTATTGTCTCTCTTAAGGTCTAACCTCCCTCTTTGGATGATCCTGTAGGTTCCAGGTCTATATATTCCTTATGGCCACCCCTACCTCTATGATCTTCGATCCTATCTGTTCCCTAATGCACTTCTTCCTGGTAGCCCTCTCTGGTCACCTCAGATAGACCTAT